TCTATCATCTATCTATCATCTATCTATCATCTATCTATCTATCTATCTCTCTGTCTGTCTGTCTGTCTGTCTGTCTGTCATCTATCTATCATCTATCTATCTATCTATCTATCTATCTATCATCATCTATCTATCCGTCTGTCTGTCTCTCTGTCTGTCTGTCTGTCTGTCTATCTACAGTATGGTATGCTGGCTTGACAGCTGTGGACAAAAAGGCATTACAGAGGGTGATGAGCACAGCACAAAAAATTATGGGCTGTCCCGACACCACAGATGAAATCACCAGGACCCACTGCCTCAGCAGAGTGAAGAAAATCCTCAGGGATGATTCACACCCTGGTCAGCGCCTCTTTCCTCTCCTACCCATCGGGCAGGAGATATAGAAGCAGAGCCAGCCGAACAAATAGGCTGAAAAACAGCTTTTATCCGTGGGCTGTCAGACTTCTGAACGCAACATAAACACCACAATTAGGTTTAATATGATAGATTTGCAAGGCCAGCACCCAGGGAGGCTCATTTCAATTTCACTGTCCCCATGTTGTGCGTTGACAATAAACGTTTGGTTTGATTTGATTTGATTTCTAACGACTCACACATTTCAGTCAACGAACAGAAACATCTCTTTAACCATCAGAATAATGTATATAAATAATCCAGAAAAGTAGGTTCTGTTTAAAAATAGGATGTTGTTTCATATTTTTGCATCATCACAATGTGATTTCCATCTGTTCCCTTTACAGTATTCTAAATGCCAACCTACGGACAAATCTGGAAAGTCAAATTAAAAAACAAAAAACAAATTTGGAACTGAGTTGTTAGTAAAACTATCCATTATGCCCTACAACAGCGGCCCCCAACGTTTTGGGCACCAGGGACTGGTTCCATGGAGAGAGGTTCTTCCACGGACCGGAGGAGGCATTGTTTCGGATGCTACCTACACCTCATGGGTGGGGTTTTACTTGTTTGCACAGCCCTGTTTCTGGCACGCCAAGGACCGGTACCGGTGTACGGACCGGGAGTTGGGGTCTCCTGCCCTACAAGGCTGCATCTGCATAGGATATTCACAATTGGGATGTTATGCTTTTTGGTTTGGTCCAGCTCTTCGAAGAGTGCTTCAAAGAGTGTTTCAACCTTGACATGCTGGCTGGAGAAGTTTGGAAATTAAAAACCAGGGGTCTCCAACCTTGGCAACTTTAAGCCTGGAGGACTTCAACTCCCAGAATTCCCCAGCCAGCTGGCTGGGGAATTCCGGGAGTTGAAGTCCTCCAGGCTTAAAGTTGCCAAGGTTGGAGACCCCTGTTTTAAACTATCAAGATTGAAGAACAGTGGCTGAGGTATTTGGGGCATGGAGCATTAAAAGGCATTGCCTTTTAACGCAATGAAATTTCATTTTAATGTATGCCAATTAGTGTACATTCAAAGTGGCAATAAAGTTACTCTATTCTATTCTATTCTATTCTATTCTATTCTATTCTATTCTATTCTATTCCTATTCCTATTCTATTCTATTCTATTCTATTCTATTCTCCTCTCCTCTACTCTACTCTACTCTACTCTATTCATATTGTGGATTGTTTATTTTCTCATTTATTCTAGGATGCTAGACATACCTCCAAAGGAGACCTCTTTTAGATGGCAATATATCAGTCCATATAACTACACCAATGACTACTTTTTCAGAACATCTTACAATGATAGAGTAAAATGCAGGCGGCTTACATGGATAAAGGCTATTCTAGTCGACCTTAGTGCTATTGTACAATAAAAAGTTTTGTCCTGAATTTGACTCAACACCAGCCTTGCTTCTATCAAAACCTCACAATACATTTTTTTTCATATGGTATAATTATAAAAATTTTGCTACAAAAGAAATTCTATCCTTACCTACACCTGTTATGTTAACCCTGCCAAATCTGCAGTATGCTTATAAAACTGCCCTGAATAAATGCCAATTTCTGCATTTTTTTTTAAAGAATGGATGCTGGATTTCCTGCATTTAAAAAAAATCAGGCAGCATCTGTTCATTTGGATGCACATTAGAAATCAATTGGTAATTTACACAACAGGTACTAGCAACTGAAATAATTCCATTTTGTTTTCTGTTCCAAACTTTCTTAATGGAGAAGTGTGCGAGAAGATGGTTAAAAAATAGCTTTTACCAGGACACAGTTTCTTGAAAACTCTAAACTGAAGTAAGGAACCAACTAAAAAGTGAGAAAAGCAGCACCTGCTGAACGAAGACATTGTTGAGATGGCTGGCTAGTCTTCGGGCAAACAGCTCACGTAGGTCACTAAATCGCTGCTGTTGTTGATTGACCGCTTGAAGCAATTCATGTCCTAAGATCAGAAGATGGATAGAGGTTTCGAAACCATAATTATTACAGGTATGTCATTCTTTGAGGGAGAAGGGCAATTTCAAATAAATAAATAATTCAGGACAAATTGAATCGATTCGTCTCCTCTATTGCCAAGTCTACAGAAAACCTGCAGAATCCTAATTACTCTCCTTCTGAATAATATTATTGGTTTTACAATCCAATTTAATCCATTTATATATGGCAGATACAACTCTGGATGGCTAACAGTGTATGAAAAGGCATGAAAACTTTCAAGGGCCGCTGAGAACAAACACAATAAACATTCGACCATGGTAACACCTCACAGGTCCTTTTAATCTCCCAACCCCATCCTCTGGAGGACACCCAAGTCTTCGGTACTTGGTGAAAGGCCAGCAGGGTCAGGCCCAGGGGTGGCCTACCGGAACTTCCGGGAGGGCCGTTTTTCGCCTTCCCAAGGTCCTGTCATGCCCCTGTTGGAGACTGACTCCAAGGGAGAGGAGGAACAGCTGACAGGGAGTGGAAGTGTGGCTCCAGAAGTTGTGGAGAAGGCTGGGGAAGGGCAGAGGCCAGCTGGGCAGTCAGAAGACCCAGGCCCATCCCTCTTCATCCTAGGACACGCAGGGAGGAATGGAGAAGGGAACAACGTGGCTTATGAGAGAAGAAGCGGCCATGATCCCCCTCATTGGTTGCAGCTGGGGGAATAGTATATAAGAGAGACGGTTAAAACACAGCATTGCTAGAAGCAAAGTGTGTTTTATTTCTGGCTGAGGTTTATCTTGGCTGGCGTTCTCCCAACGGACTGTGCCTTATTATCCTCTTGATGTTTGTAATTAATTATCTGGGTCTGTTGTGGAAATTCCTTCAGTGCGGTTTGTTTTGGTTTTTCATTTCTCCGTTATCTGTTCTTTGAGTTTGGACTCTTTTGGAAAGAGTTTAATCGCCAACTGCAAACAATTGAACAGTGAGGCCAAGTTGGAGGCATTAAAGGAAATTTATTTACGTCTGGGAATTTATTACATGTGTGCTGCTTCCCGGGTCATCACAGATCCAGAGGCTTCCCTTGGGAGGCCGAAAACAGCTTCCCACGGGCTCTGGAGGCCCTCTGGAAGCCAGAAACAGTCTCATTTCCGGACTTCCAGGAGAGAAGTTTTTCGCCTTCCCAAGGCTTCCCCCGGGCCTCTGGTGAGGGAGAAAACGGGAGCTGGAGGCCCTCCGGAAGCTGGAAACAGGTCCGTTTCTGGACTTCCAGAAGGCCCGTTTTTCCCCCTCCCAGAGCCTCCACATGGACCCTGCACTTACCTGCATTGTGCTGGGATGGGCGGGGCGGGCAGGGCCAGCTGGTCAGTTGAAATGCCGGTTCGGCAAACCAAATGAAAACTTAACGCCCGGTTCTCCCAAACTGGTCCGAACCGGTAGAATCCAACCCCTGGTCAGGCCCAATCAAATGTTGGAGGAATGGTATTCTACAGCAGTGGCCCGCAACCTTTTTTGTGCCACAGCCCGGTACCGGCATCACAAAATGATCCACGGCCCAGTACCGGCATCAACACGCATGGCAAGGCGAGCCGAGCGACCGGCCAGCCAGCCGTCCCCCACTTCTCCCCGCCACCTTCAACTCCTCCTTTGTACCTTTGTCGATGGGCTTCGGAACGACAATCGCTCGGCTCGCCTTGCCTTGGGTGCTGAAAGAATCCTCGCGCCTTAGTTTTGTTCGAAGCCACCACCCCCCTTCGATGAAACTAAGGCGCGAGGATTCCTTCAGGACCCAAACGCCACTTTCCAACAGGAAAAGCTCACCGGAAGCACTTTCTCATCAAAACAAGATGGCGGCGCCCAGCAAACCGGCGGCCTGGTAGAAAATGTTCCACGGATCGGTACCGGTCCGGGGCCCGGTGGTTGGGGACCCCTGTTCTACAGGACCAGGGCTATGACAAAAAAGGCCCACTGGTCTTCCAAGGGCAAACCCATATATATATGTCAACCTTCCTAGTAGGGCCAGACAGGACCAGGAAACCAACTCCACAGAAAGGCTGACAGTGAGAATAATTAATCAGTGGACTGGATTACCTCCAGAAGTTAAAGGTGCTCCATCCCTGGAGGTTTTCAAGAGCAGACTGGACAGCCATGTGTCCAAAATTGTATAAGGTCTCTTGTTTGAGCAGGGATTTGGAGTAGAACAACACCAAGTCCTCTTTGAACTCTTATTATTCTGTGAATACTTGCCAATACTTGCAAGATTGGCAATAATAACAGAATCATGCAAATCTGAGTGAGCGGCCTCACCACCTTACACTTCATGAATTAAGCAGGAATCTCCCTGAGTCACTCAAAATTTTATCTGGATTTTAAAAAATGCTTCAACCCCCTTCTGCCTATGCTAGGAGTCGGGAACTATGGCCCCTTTATGAACTATGGACTTCAACTCCCAGAATTCCTGAGCCAGCAGCTCAGGAATTCTGGGAGTTGAAGTCCACAGTTCATAAAGGGGCCATAGTTCCCCACTTCTGGCCTAGGCAATGGATCCTGCATATTATTGTCAAGATTATCTTCCTTTCTCTGTAAAATATGCAGAGCTCCTGCTATCTAACACTAATCCAGAGGCCACATATAACAGTCGGGTTGTGCCTAGTTCCACCTAAAATAAGACACAAAAGCAACTGAACCTGCCTGAATTATAATAGGGTAAATATGGCTTATTCCTAAAATAATAAATTGAGGACAAACTTACCTTTTTCTAGCCCAAAACACTCACATTTAATCTTTAACATTTATTGTAGTTAAAACAAAATTTGAACTTTACACTGACTTGTCACTTACAGTACCCATCTTTAAGCATTTTTTTTTAACTTTGTTTGGTTAATGACTATAACCAAGATTGATCTGGTTTTAGGTGTTTTTGAGAACTTAAAAGCAGAACGTTTCAATCAGAGGATCTGGTCACAATGTACACCGCTGTTGTTGTTGTTGTTTTCTTTTTTTTAATGCCTACCTGGCTGAAGAGCTACATTCATGCATTGTAGAAGTGCATCTGCTGCATTTGTGCAAGCCTCAATGCCACGTGAAGAGGAGAGGTCTCCTTCTTGGAGGGCCTTGATGTGGCCCTTGGCCAAGTCCATGTGGTTCTGCAACAACAGGGGAAGCAAACTCTCAAGCACAAATTTACTTTTCTTAGTTATTAAAAAAAACAAAAAACAAGCCCAACTATCCTTTTTTTTTCCTCACACGTTTTAATAAGATCATTTCAATCACGCTTCCTCAAAACTACCACCTTCCAGATATCCTCCTGAATTAAAACTTGTCTCCAAAGTTTTACCACAGAGTCTCGAGGATTTGTGGAGGCATATTAAGAGAGCTAGTTTGGTTTCGTGGTTATGGCACTAGGCTAGAAAGTGGGAGACGGTGAGCTCCTGTTTCACCTTAGCTGTGAAAATCGGCTTGGGCCAATCACCCTGTCAGCTCAATTCACCTTAGGGTTATTGTTGAAGAGACAATAAGAAGAGGAAGGTGTGTTGGATATGTTTACTGCCTTGAGTTATTTGTAAACTTAATAAAGGCAGGATAAAATAAACAAACAAATGGATTTGCCTGTCAAGGTAACTCTACATTATATCAGCTGCTGTTTTAATTTTTAATGCATGTATAGTTTATCTCACTCTACTTGATACTGCAGTTTATCTGAAATTACCTTTTTAAATATTTATATTTTCCACATTTGTTTTCCTTTTATGACCCTGTAATCCCTTGCTTCAGGGTGGTCAGGGTGACTGAATGGAGCTCAGCATTTACTGGCCGGATGCCCTTCCCGACACTTACAAGGAGTTAGCAGAAGATTTTTTTCTTCTATTTGGGCTCTCATAGAGAAACATCTATTGCTGCCTAGGACTGAACTCTCAATCTTCCATTCTTCCAAGCGGGAGGCAAGCATCTTCACCTCTGGAACCACCTCGCCACTCATATTTATATACTTCATATATTACCTCTTATATCTCAATGACAGGCATATTGGGGTGCCCAAATCCTTTGATAAACCCTGATCTAGTTCTGAAATGGTCTTTTACTAAAATTAGGGTGGTTTGTTTATTTTATCTATTATAGAATACTCCTGTGATAGTTGGATATTAGAAATGTCAATCAAAGGATGTAACAGAGGGTACCTGCTCCCAGTTTATACTGTTGAGGGAGGGCAACCTGTAGAAAGACACGTCTGGAAGATGTGAGTGGAAGGACAGGCCTGAGGGAAACTCAAGTCCTTCTGGAAACTTCTATCTATTAATATGCATTTTGTGCCAGGAAAGACAAGGACAGACAGTCAACAGATGAACTGTAAATGAGCAGTTAACAGAAATTATCAGAGGTTACTCTACACTTAATGAATCTGTTTACAGCTCATTTATAATAAAAGTTGGAAACAGTAGAAAATACTTGTAGCTCAGGTTTTATATTTGGTGGTTTGCTCTCCAAGCTTGTTTCCATTTAGTTTCTGAATGTTTGGTTACCAGACTAGATCACAACATGATTGTCATGCTGTGGAGACTGACTCTGAGGGAGAGGAGGAACAGCCGACAGGGAGTGGAAGTGTGTCTCAGGAGGTTGTGGAGGAGGCTGGGGAAGGGCAGAGGCTGGCTGGGCAGTCAGAGGAGGACCCAGGCCCAACCCCTCTCCATCCTAGGGCACGCAGGGAGGAGAGGATAAGGGAGACATGTGATCTACTCAGGAGGAGCGGGCCTTGATCCTCTTCATGGGCTGCAGCTGTGACAACTGAATAAGAGGACGGACCTGCGTACGGGCGAGCGCTGGAAACAAAGCGTGGAAATATTTCTACTTTATAGTTCCTCTCTGAGTTTGGCGTCCTTCCCAGTGTGTGATATCTGTGGATGTCCTCCAGCCCTTATCTTGCCTGATTTGTGCTGTTTTTCCCCTCCTTCTTGTAACTGTTTGTGTGGGAGTTTTTTGTCTTCTGTCAAGGATATTTGGAGCTGGGAAGCAAAGGGAAGGAATTAAAAGGGGCTTCGCTGGGCTTTTGTGACTTTATTTTGTATCCCCCACCCCACCCCCACCCCCGTCATCACAATGATGATGTTACCTACTCTGGTAACGAAACATTCAGAAACTAAATTGGAACAGGCTTGGAGAGCAAACCACTGCCAAAATAATAAAAAGTTAATTTGAGCTTTGGTTTAAAGATTAAAAATGTGCTGCTTTGCATTTTGCCTCCCCTCCGCTTATCATGACATCTGAGAAATAGAGAGAAAAAAAACTCAGAAAGGTTTTCAAATCAGAAAAGGCTTTCCTGGTGGCAACAAATCCAACAAACACTACTGTGATATCTTGATAGAGTACAGATAATCCTCAACGTATGACCATAACTGAGCCCAAAATTTCTGTTGCTAAGTGAGAAGTTTGTTAAGGGAGTTTTGCCCCATTTTACAACTGTTGCTAAGCAAATCACTGCAGTTGTCCAATTAGTAACACGGTTATGAAGTGAATCTGATTTCCTCATTGATTTTGCCCCTCAGAATATCACAAAAGGTGATAACAAGGTCAGCGCAACTGTCATAAATGTGAGCCAGCTGTCAAGCATCTGGATATAAATCACGTGACCATGGGGATGTGTTGTGGTTTGCCAGCAGCAGATGCGGACGGCTGAGGTCTTGGAGAGCGAGGACTCAGGTGAGGGGCTTGTGTGTGATGCAGGGATGGGGCCAGGACCATCGGGGAGTGGAATGCTGCCTTCGGAGATTGTGGAGGCTGGCAGCAGTGATGAAGAGGTTCCCGAGGAGCCTGTGCCCAGTGCGCATGCGCGCAGGGCTGCTCGAAGGGAAGAGCAGCTGCAGCAGCATGGGCGACTCGGGAGTAAGGCTGCAAGGTAATGGCCCCGCCCTTAAGAGATAAAAGCCAGCTGAGAAACCGGAGTTCTTTGCAGGAAGCAAAGAAGTTTTTGCACTGAAGCCTTGTGGACGTTTGGACTTTCTCAGTTTGTGTGTGGAGACTCTTTGTGTTTGAAATACTTCTTGTCAACTTTATCTAGTATTCTTGGCAGCCTTGCACCACCTTGGCAAGGCTCGTTCTTATCAGAGATAATTAATTTTAACCGTGAAGGAACGGAATTCGTAAAGAATCATTAAAAGGTTTTGCTGTTAACCTCCGTTTCATGTTTGTTTCTCCTGGAACCAGGTTTGGGTCAGAACAAGGATGCTGCAACGGTCATAGGTGTGAAGAAGGATCATAAGTCACTTTTTTTTCAGTGCCACTGTAACTTCAAACAGTCACTTAAGTGAACTGTGGTCAGTTGAGGACTACCTGTAGTGGCATTATGTTTTGATTCTAATAAAGAAGCAAACCCATAAAACATTAAAACGTGCATAACTCCAAGGACTTTTGTATGGATGATGCATAGAATTAAGAATATTTAAATGCTTACAACAAGGAACTCTATCTCCGACAACAGTTTTAGGTTGTTCGTGTTGCTGAGACGAATTAGATGGTTGCTTTCTGAAATCTGATCCATTTGTTCTTTCACGCTCCGGAGCATGTCCTCGTAACTGCTCAGCTTCCATTCGATTTGGTCCACTTCTTTCAGAGCGTCATCCAGCAATTTCATCAAAATGTTCACCTGTTTCTCCGAGGCCATAATCGACTGGATGTTTGCCTAGAAAGCCAGCAGCAAAAAGAACCAATCATCGGATTGGCAAGTCAACGCAACGGGTGACTGCAGCGCCAACAATTGGCAGCAGGACTTCTGTTGTAGTTCTTTGGCTAACTCGCTCACAGTGACTCAAGGTAGCTTAAAACAGGGGGTCTCCAACCTTGGCAACTTTTAAGACTTGTGGACTTCATCTTGTGGACTTCAACTCAGAAAACTTCTCAGAAAACAACAACTGAATGAGAAACTGCTGGTGACCTTCTACCGCTGCACCATAGAGAGTATCTTAACTTACTGCACCTCTGTATGGTTTGCCAATTGCACAGTGGCAGATAGGAAAGCACACCAGAGGGTTAATGTCATTGCCCAGAAGATCATGGGTTGCCCTTTCCTCTCTTTGGAAGAGCTTTATAGCTCCCGCTGCCTTAAAAAGGTTCAAAACATTCTCAAAGATCCCTCTCATCCTGGGAACCCTTTTTTTGAACTATTACCATCTGTTGCAGACGGTACAGGACAATAAAAACAAAGACAAATAGGCTGAAAAACAGCTTCTATCCCAGGGTAGTAGCTCTGTTGAATTTTACTGTACAGTGCAGTGTCGGTGTGGTGTTGGGGGTTTTCGGTTCAATGTGTGGAGGATGTGCATTTGTGTTTATTTTCATGGTCATGATGTGCCCTGAAGATGGTGTTTAATTTCGTTGTACGAGGTGCGATGACAATAAAGTAAACTCCCAGAATTCCTCAGCTGGCTGAGGAATTCTGGGAGTTGAAATCAACAAGTCTTAAAGTTGCCAAGGTTGGAGACCCCTGGCTTAAAACACAATATACAGTGAAAGAAATAAAAATACTAAAATAATAACCCCCACATCATTGGCACAGAAGAAAACAGCCTTACCCCATCAAGAACTTGTAGCTCTCTAGACAACTTATCTGCAAAAGCTTCTGCATTAGAGATAGCATATTCACAGCCGTCCATCATTATTTCAATATCTTGCTCTTCTCTAGCATTTAATTCTTGATATTCATCCACCGCCTCTTCGTCTGTTCCTGCCACATTCTGGTTTTCACCACTGGGAACAGATTCTAAAGAGGAGGGGGAAAAAGGTGGTCATAATTTATGAAAAAATGAATATAGCTGCACTGGCCATCAAAATCATTCCGGGTAATTCTAATTGACCGTACACATGTAGCATAAAGATATTCTGCTTAAATTTGATCCATGTTCTTAATCAGTTACTGAGATATTAATAAATTGAAATTTTACAATGCTCCATGATTTTTAATCAAATTGCAAAACAAGAATATTCCTCTTGTTTCAGCAACAGAAAAACAGATATTAATTATGACGGAAAAAGTTAGAAAAATCTGTTATATTTCCTCCAGTGGATGCAACATTAGAAACAACAAAAGTAGTAACAAGGATGCATAACTTTCAGCGACAATAATAAAAGGACATTTCTCAGCAGTGCCTTCTTTCAGTTATTTTAAATCTGCATGTTATTAAAATATAGCTCATAAATTAATACTTCTCATGATTAAGGAAGCATAATAGCTAATTCTGGAACCTATCCTGTTTTTCATTTAAATTTAATATTGAGGAAAAATTAAGCCAATAATAATGTCTTATTATTCCTGCTTCTTTTTGATATTATCCTGTCTTCAGTAACAATCTTTCAGACACAAAGTTAAATCTAGCTTCATAATTATTTTTAGTTATGAGTCATTTTTAAGGAGCATGGATTAATTACCCATTTATAGTGTACTTTTTAATCCAACTCTCTGAAACATAGTGTATGTACATCAGTCTCTCTAGGGAAAAACTCTCAGCTTAACCTTTTTTAAAAAAAAACAAGTTTTTATTGGTTTTTAAAGACAAAGCAGCTTAACCTTTATTAGTTCTCTCAAAAATAAAGTGGGGGAAGAGTTGCACACAGATTTGCAAGACTCTGTTACTCTTTGTGTAAGATCTTTGTGAGAACTAAGGGAGGTTTATGTCTGAGGAGGCCTGCTGAGGGAATGCCGACTGGGGAATTCTGGGAGTTGAAGTCCACACATAAATTTGAAAAGCACTGTCCCAGATTTAGTGCTCTTCCAAATTTACATTTGTTATTCCAGTTTTCCAGGTCCCTTTTAGACCCGGAAGCATTCAAATGTAACTTTTCTAGCTTTCATGTACTAAAGCTATTTCTCTAATGTATCACTGTTGCTTTTCTACCTCATTACGCTGTTTTGTCCCCTCGTGCAGATAGTCCTCCACTTACAACCGATCACGTAGAGGCTTTCCAAAGGGACTTACGACACAGATTCAAAGTTCCAACATCTGTCCCACACCCACCCGGTAGCCACCTGACCACATTTGGGCAACCAGCTCCGTGTTTACGGCTGTTGGCAGCGCCCCACGATCATAAGACCACAATTTATGACATTTTTGCTGGAAACTTGGTGTTTACTTTCAGTTTACAGTAAAAAACCAACCCATGGGGTGAACAATGGGTTCGCTTAACGGCCACTGCAAAAATTGGTCTCACAACTGATGAATGAAATTTCAGGCTCAATTAGTTGTAAATTGAGAACTACCTGTAAATGTTCTCCTTAAAATATTACCATATATGCAAGTCAGTGTGAGAGTCAAAAAAAAATTACTACCGGTTCTGTGGGCGTGGCTTGGTGGGCGTAGCTTGGTGGGCGTGGCAGGGGAAGGATACTGTAAAATCCCCATTCCCTCCCCACCCCACTAACCTGCTTTCCAGCTCCATTTTCCTGTGCAAGACAACCAAAATAGACCCAGCCCATCAGCTGGGACTCGGGAGGCAGGGAATAGATGGGAGCGGGGCCAGTCAGAGGTGGCATTTGCCGGTTCTCCGAACTACTCAAAATGTCCGCTACCGGTTCCCCAGAACTGGTCAGAACCTGCTGAATACCACCTCTGATACAAATGAGACTTCCATGTGACTTGTTATTTTAGCAAGTAATCACATTGTTCTGCAATTATATCTTGCTCAATTTTAAAGAGGTGAACTAGGCTTAGCCTAGTTGAACCTGTATATTAAAACCTGTAGGATAGCTTTCAGCCCATTTATTTAATGACAAACCCGTGGCACTCTGGATATTACTAAACCACAATTTTTAATATTTCTCTTGTTTCCCAGACTGGAAAAAACACTGTTGGGAAATACATTTCAGCAATGTTTTAAGTTCATCATACCACATCTGATCATAGAATAGGTGTTAGCTTATTTATGGAAATAGTGATTTATCTGTTTAACAATAACTTTTATTTAAGGCATTGGGAAAACCCACCGGTGACCACTAAAAAATAAATAACTACTCTATCTGGAGCATGTATTCCATAAAGCTGGAAAGGTTGGGGAATGCTAATATATTACATGCAATACTAGACTGGCAACAAATCAACAAATTGAGTATTTATTTGGATTGTTCCATGATTAGCTTCACCAGGAGCACATTTCAGTATAAGCTTTTTTTCTAACATCAGAAGCATAATTGCATAAATACATGTGGAATATGACACAATCCAATTAAAATGTTCCTCATTTTTGCTGCCATCTCCGAAGGCAAAATAGATACTCCACAACCATTAAGTTTGGTAAACTAATGTGTGTAATGTTGAATTTGCAAGAGCTATTCCAAACTGACTAGCTGCTTTGACTCTATAAAAATATCCCAAAGGAGGACCATCTGAAATTCAAAATGTTCCTACTTTTCACTCATAGCTAAATGTTATGGATCACAATCTACCATGCTGGTCCAGTCTTTTTATTTTCTAGTCTAGGCCTGGATGTTGGGGCCCCCAAAAATCACCCAGTGGCTTCCATACCTAAGGAAGAATGAGAACCAAGATTTCTCTGTTTTTAAACTTTAACCAATAATATACCATACTAGCTCTTCTCTCTCTCTCTCTCTCTCCTTCTCTTTCTCTCTCTCTCTCTCTCTTTCTCTCTCTCCCTCCCTCCCATTCTTAGACTTGCCAAGTCTAGTTAAAAGTAAGCTCAAGTCAGTTCAATATAATTTATTCCCAATGTTGTGTGCTCTGGTTTAATATAGTAACTTAAGTGTAGGATGTGAGTAGAAAATATACTGATGAACGTGGTCTGATTTCAGATTGTAAGCAAAATATTGAGTTTCAAGCAACTTTGGATGAACAAAGAATCAAATACTTATTTACTTGTTAACCAAACTTTCCACCAAAAAACTTAGTCTTAACTTACACAAAAAGTCAATTCAATATTGTACCGAAAAGGCAGATTCTGAAAATTCTCATCAAAAACTATTTAAGTGATTGAGTTTTTGCACTCTGTCTTCATATTTAAATTCCGTTCAACAGCTCATTGTTTAAAAACCTCTGAGTAATATTTTTAGCTGAATTTGCTGACATTTCTGACAAAACCGGAATGAAGTATCTGTTTAATGAAGCATTATACACAATTTTAGAGCAAAAGTAACTGAATTAGTATTACAGAGGAAGAAATACGGAGGGGTGTTACGCACCTTCAGTGACTTTAGGTAGCTCTGGAGAATTGAAAGTATGAGAAAAGCAGAGGAGAAGAAGCAAAGAATATTAGCTAAGCAGTCAATGAGCACAATTTGGCAACAATTTGTCTCTGTTACAAAATTTTTGAAAACTTAGAAGAACATTAAACAAACTACAAAGCAGATTTCTTTGCAGCTATGTAACTCCTGGATGATCAAATGAATCATTATGAAGTTTAAGATTATACCAGGTTAGGAGTTTAATAATTAAGACTACCCTCACTACAACAAAATTGTGTTCAGTTATTGTGAGGAGAAACAGGTTAAGCCTGCCAACCTGGGTGTATTACAAAGCAAATCTGATAAGTTGCTATAAGTGCTATATTTAATTTGCCAAAAATCTCCCAAACCTACTAGCCGAGCAGGTCTACATCGTGGGGTTTGACTTAGACCTTACATAGGTGGCATCATAACCAAATTCCCAAGATATAAATGACACAACTCACACTGCATATAGAAGTAGGATTTCCCTACAATAGGATACACAAGAAAAAAGGAATCATATATAATTTTACGGTCTAAAGTTATATGCACAGATCCACATTAAAGTCATAATTAAGGGGCAGATGTGTTACGTAAAAGTAGTAAAAGTTCATTCCCAGAAATGCATGAATTGGGATAGGAAAGTTTTGTTTAAGATTGAGGTTGGGTCAGGCTGAGTTTTGGGAAATTTACTTTCATAGATTCTAATTCAGAGATCCATTCATTATATCAAATGAATAAAGTTTGAATATTGTGAAAGTGATAAAGACTGCAACCTCCACTGCAACTATTTCATGTTCTGAATACAGGATCAGATTCAAGTTGAAAGACACTTGAAAGTCAAGGAAACTACTTATATTAGAAATAAGAAAAATAGGAACGACAATATGAATTTTCTAATTGCTTAAACAAATACTAAATTTAGAGACAGCATAGCAAGGATTCATCTAAAATCCTTTACCTTCCAGAAGCTGGGAACTAACATTGATGAAGTCAATCTTCTTTCTAATATACCGCTGATTGAGTTTCCAAATACACGAAATAAAAGTATTCTTTTCTGCTATACTGCTAGCAACCCATTTATATACTTTGTCAAAATGCAGATCAAATTCAGAACTTTCCTGAAAAACAGAAAGGACAGAAATGTCAACTACCATACTCTCTTCTTAAACAACAAATTTGCAAATTTAAAGATGACTACAGAGCAAAAGTACATCTAGGGCAGGGGTGGGCAAACTTTTTGGCTCGGGGGCCGCATTGACTTTTAAAATTTGACAGACGGGCCGGGTCAGCACAAGATTTTTTGGGAATCGCCCCCCCCTTACCCTTCCCCCCCTCTTCTCCTCCTTCCCCTCCCCTCGGAGGCCCCCTGAGTCAGGAGTTGCTACCGCCGGCGCGGCTCCGCGCGGCTCCAGTCCCGCGTTGCCTCGGGAAGGGAAAGGCAAAAGGGAAGAGCCGCGGCGGTGCTTTGCAACGGGAGCAGCGGCACCGGAGGCTCAGGCTCAGCGGCTCCTGGTTTTGCCTTTTCCTTCCCAAGGCAACGCGGGACTGGAGCCGCATGGAGCTGCGCCGGCGGTAGCAACTCCTGACAGCCCCAGCCGGACACCTGAGCGGAGCCTGGGCGAAACTGCCTGTTGCTGCTGCCGGAGCACCGCCGGGTCGCCTCCTCCAAGCAGCCTGCCCGCCCACCGGGCTTCCCCTCTGCTGCACGGCTCGGGGCCAGGCGCGAGCGCCCGCGAGTTAAAAGGAAGCCGAAAGTTGCTGGGAAGTTGCACGGGTGCTGGGAGCAGGCTTTTAAAGTGCCGACCGAGCAAAGTTTAAGCAGCCCGCCCGCCCGCCGGGCGGAATCCTTCCTGCTCCTCGGTGGGAAGACGCTCCAGCCTGCAAACTTTGCCTTTGCAAAGTTTAAGCC